TAGTACCCGGGCAAATGTTGTTTAGTTTATTGTTCTCCATAACATATTTATTTTTCGGAAGTTTTTGAAAACTTTGTTTTTTTTTTTGTTTTTTGTTTTTTTGGTCCGCGTTCGGCCTAAACGGCCGAACGCCTTCCGAAGGGGTCCCCTACATTCGGGCGTTCGGGTTCGGGCGTTCGGCCCGTCCTGAACGTCGACAACCCTGTACAAGACTGTATTCTTCATTATTTATTTTGTTAATTTTTTGCCTGCAAGAAAATCTTTGTGAAAAAAAGAAAACCCACCCATTTCATATTGTTTTTTTTTCTTTCTTTTATGTTTTTGATTTTTAAAAAATGAAAAAAATAAAATACAAAGCATAGGGTTGTAGATCTCAAAAATATCTACAACCCTGCATTTTTTGTTTTGTTTTTTGCTTATTATTTTGCAGGGAAAACAATGTTCCCGCGCGAGCTCAAAGCTCGCTCAAGCGCTTTTGAGCGCGGGATTGAGTGGAGCTCAAAAAATTGAGCTCCGACCCCGCGCTTAATCAGTGCGCGGTAATGCAGACCAATTGATGACAGCAATAAGAAAAAGTCCAGAGGGATCGAGATCATCCATGAAACATTAAATACATGTATGTCTATAACGTGTTTTTTCCAATGCAAAAAAAAAAAAATCCATTTGACCTTCTGTCATAATATTAGTTAATTTTTCCCGCAGCAAAAAGCCCTGCCAACGTTGTTGAGCAAAGGTAAGAAGTTTTTTCCTAAATTCTTGAATGTCTACCGAGTTCCTATCATCTGGATTGTCTTGGAGTTCATAATCCAGTATTTGTTCGTGGATGTTCAATTCTTGATGATATCTGTTTCGACACTGCACAATTCTTCCCGTCGAACTCTCTCTCTGTGTATATATATATATATTATATATCCCTGTGTGTGTGCGTATGTGTGTTTCATTGCGGCAAAAGAAGAAGAAGAAGAAGAAGAAGAAGAAGAGAAGAAGAAGGAAAAAAAAAAGAAGAAGAAGAAGTAGAAAAAGAATGAGAAGAAGAAAAAAAAAAAAGAAAAAAGAAGAAGAAGTAGAAGAAGAAGAAGAAGAAATAAAAAAATCAGCACGACAGAAGAACAAGAACAAGAACAAGAACAAGAAGAACAAGAACATAAAAAACAAGAAGGAAACAAACAAAGAAAAAGAAGAAGAAGAAGAAGAAGAAACAAAAGGAGAAGAAGAAACGAAGAGTCGGAATAAGAAGGAGGAAAAAAACAAAGAAGAAGGAGAAGAGGAAGAAGAAGAAGGAAAAAAGACGCTCATGCCACGTTGGCGCTCATGCCAAGTTCGTATGATGGACTCGTGAGTAATGAGCGCTGCTCGTTAGCGCTGGAGGCACGTTGGCGCTGTTGGAGGCAAGCCTTGTGAGCCACATTGGTGCTCATGCCGATATGATAGCGGTGCAACGTGAGCGCTGGAGCCACGTTGACGCTGTTGAATTAAGGGTTTCAGGGTGCTCATGACACGTTGACGCTCATGCCAAGTTGGTTTATGAATGCTGTCATGCCATGCTGGACTCGTGAGTAATGAGCGTTGGAGCCACGTTGGCGCTGTTGGAGGCGAGCCTTGTGAGCCACGTTGGTGCTCATGCTAACTTGGTGATGATCTAGAAAAAAGGAAGGGAGGGAACGGAGGGAAACATTGTTCGAGTCCATCTGCCGCAGAAGGTTTGCGGAGATACAGATTCGACTGAGAGAATCACGGCTTTAGTCTGAATCTTTTTGTCCTAGTTAGCTTGGATGAATTATGACATGTAAAATCATCTCAAGCTCATGGGAAGAGTGTTGGGTTGGAGCAAGCAGGAGGATACTTTTGAAAGGATAACTACTGAGATATAAAGAGTACCGTGTATATAGTGAGAGTAATGTGTTCCTGAGATGCCAGTCTCCAGGAGAGGGCTGGCAACGTTGGCTGCTCCGGTTCGTAAGCGCTGCTCGTGAGCGAGGGAGCCATGTTGGCACGGCTCGTCAGTGTCGTCATGTTTGCGCTTGTACCACACTGGACTCGAGAGTGATGAGAGTTGCTCGTGAGCGCTGGAGCCACGTTGGTTGGTAGCGGGGATTCATGTTGGTGCTCATGTCACGTTGGCGATCATGCCATTTTGGACTTGTGTGTGATGAGCGCTGCTATTAAACGTCGGAGCCACGTTGGCGCTGCTCGTGAGTGTTGCACTTCACATTGACGTCCAGGAGCCACGTTGGCACTCATGCCAAGTTGGCGAAACTCAGAGAAAAGGAACGGAGGTAACGGAGGGAACGGAGGGAGACGCTTTTCGAGTCCAGCCGCTGCAGCAAACTTGGGGAGCTACGGAATGGGTCGTTGCTAGTGGGGTGGGTCATTGAAGAAAGGGAAAGATGCTGCTAAATCACATTCAAGCAGGAGAGATGATGTAAATCAACAGCAAACGGGCAGAAAGTGAAGTGCATCCCCCTTCCTCTTTTTCGACCTGCCTTTCCCCTCACTATCTGACCTCTCGGTTATTGTGCAGGTTTCTCCAGCCAGTCCTGAGGGGAAATTTCTTATTAATTAATTAATTCTGTAATTAGGAGGAAAAGGTGCACTAAAAAAATTTACTCTTTGTTTTGTTAAGGGTAAAATGGTCAGTATGCAGCGAGTGACTCAATCAAAGAATCCATAAACAGGTGGATTCGATGTTGATGTTCCGAGGGGCGATGAGACACATAGCAGCAAAACATACACAATGAAGACGGTGTTATATTCACGTCTGAAATAACCTCTTTCGGTTGAATCAACTCAATCCATCCCTGATGAGGAAATTCTCACAGAAGAAGAGCGTCGACAGCAGAATCAGACATTCCCTGTTGAAGGGACCAGGACCAATATCTCTACCTTTCAAGTTTCTCCGATGGCTTCGCTCCTGGTCACTAATATAGGGCAGGGTATGATATGCATGCATACTAATTATGAAAGTTTCATGTCATTGAACCCACTATATCTCCCTGATGAACTGAGGACACCCTCAATACGAACAGAGGAGGAATGCAACATATAAGGATGTGATGAGGAGTTTGGTACTTTTGGAGGGGCAAAATGGAGGAGGAGTACTTCAATCGGTCGACAAGGATACATCAATGATGGCAAATGATATAAGGGAAAGGAGGGAAGGGTAGTTCCAGGATATTTAAATGTTGGAAACAAGGGAGTTTCCATTACTTCAAGATGGGGGGGTGAGAGCAGGAGATGGAGGAGGAGGAAAGGGGAGAAGAAAAGAGGATGGAGATAAGGGAAGTCAAGGTGGCAGGTTGGGAGGAGGCAGGGGAGGAGGATGGAGGGGTGGAGGGGAGGGGAGGTGGGTAGTAAGAGACGGGAATGGAGAGAATGGAAAGTTGGAGGCAGAGAAGAGGAAGGGCAACTTGAATAACACAGGGGAACAATCACTTTCGGGTGACATGGGCCCAAATCCTGTCATCTATTTCTCCGGGGTTCTCTTCATCTTCCTGGCTACAAAAAGCCAAAGGACCTTTCCATGCAAAATCCCTAGAAGTAAAGCGCTCAAGAGTGCAATCTCGTCCTCTCCAAATCCCTCTGACTAATCTGCCTACGGCGCATGTTTTTTTCCTGTCGAAACTCATTAGCCCCTCGGAAAATAAAGTAGTAGTGTCTAGGGGGAAGAAATCCATGGTAAAAACGTCCCAGAAATTAACAGAAAGAAATGCCATCTATCAGATGCATGCTAACAACTGGGTTTTCATGATGACGCAACATATAAATCAACAAATGAGAAAATCAAATGGATTGGCAAACGTCTTGCAGTTTTGAAAAGTAGTCAAGAGACTGCATATGAAGATTTGTTAATTATGTCGTTCTCTGCCACAGTCTTTACAGTTTTAAGTTTACATGTGACGACTAAAAAGATGATAGATGATTGGAAGAAATTACGGTGCGACCGGTCCGAAGTTCGGATCTACCCCTGGTCACCACAGAAGCAAGGGCCAGATGAGAGGCGACGACAGATGATGGAGGAACTCTATTAGTTTGAATTCCTTCACATCCCAATCGAGATTCAAGCAACCTTTATTCATGATTTTTGGGAGCTGTATGATATTGTAGATTTTATTGATCCATTGCTAGCATACGCACCGAGACGTGACGACGATTTGATGTTGGCACTGGATCATCCCTCTCATCAACCTTTTAATTTGGATGATGTCATTCCATACAGGATTAGGGGAAAAAACTATCACATACATACGACACATAAACTAAGGCCTTGGTGTTTTCGTTGCAAGGCGTATGATCACCTTAGTTCCGATTCATTCTGCTCCCAGAATCCTGCGCGTCGTCAAAAGGCGACATGACGTTTGATTCGGGATCCCTTTAAAGCAAATTTATGGCGCACTGTGGATCCAGGTCATGAAGGATGGGTCTATATTGAAGGTTCCTTCAAGGGAGGGGCTTCCAAAGGATGGATGTGGGAAATATCTGGCCCCCAGATAGCTGGACTCCGCCGGAGGCACCCGTCAAGACAGTTCCTATCACAGGAGGTAGTCCCACCAACATCTCTTCCGTGGCGGCTGCCCTGCAGCCGACATCACAGCCGACAGGCGCAGAGGGTGGAATGGGTCAAGTTTCCATAGGTCCCGTCCAACCTGATCCTAGGAATTATATTCAGGGATCTGGTGCCGATATACCACCGGGCGGCCTACAAATTGCTATAATGACCACTGCAGCAGACACGATAGCTTCACTCTTGTTAGGAGAACCTAATCAGGGGTTGACACAGTCCAAACAGGTGGCGCAGATGGAGCAAGGCTTAGAAGGTGCGGAAGATCCTGAATCGGGGAAGGGTCAGGTACAAACCACAAAATAGTTGTTGGTGCGCACGAAAAGGAGGAGACCAAAGAAAAAAAGTAATAACAAAAAAAAGTCAATGATGGTTAAAAGAAGGAATGAGGGGACTGGTAAACACTTGCTAGGTATGCCTCAGGGATCCGTTGAACACATACTTGCGGCGCATCGCGATGCGTTGTACTGCGCACGTGCGCCGCACTGTGCTTTCCGCACGACGCGTGCGCACTGCATGCGGCGCACCTCCAAAAATGGGGGTCAAAAAAAAAAAAAAAAGTTGTGAGGGGTGGTAGTAGACCCGGCCCCCTGCTCACGTAAAATAAGAAACGGGCAGCCAATTTTTTTTTGAAGGCCGCGCGTTGGCCTGAAAGCTTTTAGTAACCTGTAGTCGGGGTAACACTCTATGTGTATTGCAGTCTGTATGGTAGGGTTCTTGCAGGCCAGATTCAGTCATGATGAGGGTCGCGATCTCTCAAAACGTTCTCTTCTGATTACTTCTGAAGTAGAAAATGGCAGAACTGACAACCGTTTTTCCTGGAATTTTCTTTTTTAATAAAAAAAAAAAAATGTAAGGGAAGAAAATCAGAATTCCTTTGCATGAGTGTCGCCCGACGTGTCCAACCTGTCAGAACCTCAACGGTAAGTGCAATCTGTATGGTAGGGTTCTTGCAGGCCAGATTCAGTCACGATGAGGGTCGCGATCTCTCAAAACGATCTCTTCTTATTACTTCTGAAGTAGAAAACGACGGAACTGACAACCGATTTTCTTGGAATTTGTTTTTTTTAATAAAATAAAATAAAAAAACGTAAAGGAAGAACATCAGAAATTCTTTGCACGAGTGAAGCCCGAAACCTCAACGGTAATGTTCACCAACGGGCTCGCTGCACAACTCTCGACATGCACAACAAGATAAAAATATTGGCAGTGTATATTTCCATATTCTAGCGCAAGATTCACTCTCGTTTTGCACATTTCCAGAGTAGTGCAACGAGGCCCATATATGGCAATGTATCTTTCCATGTTCAAGCGGAAGATTCAGTCTCATTTGTTCAGAGATTCTCCAAAACAAAAAAAAAAGGTTCCAGAGATACGTTACGTGCTTACCTGATTCATCGGCCCTTCGCTCTCCACCACCCAACGTATGAATGAATCTTCCACCAGAACATGGAAAGATACACGGCCATATTTTTCGTCTTTTGTGCATGTCGCCCCGCTTCCGGATTCATGTTGCCCGTTGATAAGGGCGGTTTCTTCGGTCAGATAGTGTCAGCACACGGTTTCCTCTCTCTCTCTCTCTCTCTCTCTCTCTCTCTCTCTCTCTCTCTCTCTCACACACACACACACACACACACACATACACACGCCGAAAAGAGGCATGGCTCAAAAAAGAAAAAGAAAAAAAAAGAGGCATGGCGCACAGTGCGCACCTCGCAGGGGTAGCGCATCCCCATGCGCTGCGCGCACGGCGCACCTCGTGCGCACATTCACGCAGTCCGCATGGCGCAGCGCACCGCATCGTGCGCCTCACAAATGCGCCGCAAGTATGGTTGAACATCATATAACAAGTGTCATGAAGGAATGCAGTGAGATTCTGCTCAGGCAGGTCCATGAGGTTACCAAGAAGATGGGGGAAAGCTCCCGTGTAGAAAATACGCAACAAAATGACCCTTTTAGGGACGCCTTTGGACCTGCTCCAATGAATGTTGACTCACAACAGGAACTAAATGACATTCCTATGACAGATTCTCCGCAAAACTCAGGGGAGGATCAAGCAAACATCCCACTGGATCAGAAAATGACTCAACTAGCTGATTGGATAGTTCAACAATTAAAAAACAAGTTTGGATCAACCACAGTTGAATTTTGGGACGAGTCATATGTCCAATTGATTGTAATATTGAACAACAGTTTTAGTTTGAGAGAGCTACTGTTGACGGGCCTGCCACCAGGTGCGCAATGGAATGTAGTGAGTTAGTATATGCTGCAAGTGGTGGAAAAACTTTTCCATCCCCCCCTCAGGAGTAAATAAGGATATTTAGGGAGAGATAGTTGCAACAGTTGTCCTAGTTCCTCGGGACATGGTACATCAGGAGGCGACCCAGAGTGCACTTTCTCAACAATGGAAAGAGGGATTAGGCGTTGAGCAGGATCCGGAAGCAGGGGTAGGATCTGCCAACTTGGAGGAGATGGTTTCTCGGTCGATCCTTTCTCCTCCTCTGATATCAGGGTTGAAACAGGACAGTGGAGGTAAAAGACAGAAGGAAAAGGGGATGGGAGGGGAGGGAGGGGTGCCACAGAGGGAAGGTTTGAAAGACGGTCTTTCCCTGAGGAATATAGGGGAGCAACAATTGTTGTCACAGGACCAGAAACAGAAACAACAGTCTCAGGAAGACATAGTCTCTGTTCCTAATCCAGTCTCGAAAGACTCTAGTAAAAAACTGAAGATGCGTCAGATTTTGGAAAAAGGACAAGCAGTCAGACCGTTGAACTTAAAAGGTAACCTCATCATTCCAGTACGAAAGAAGGGAGGCAAATGGGAAATTGGGCTCTCACCTATTGGGCAAGATCAATATGGGGGAGTTACATTGAGGGGCTGGTCAACGTATGTAGAATACCAAAGGGTCGGGGACAAAACTTTTAAGAGGGACCTTCATGATTTCTTGTCTAAACATTTTGATCCTGGTCCGCAGGCCATTCTTTCATAATTGGGGGAACAGGCGCACATGACAAAAAGAGATGCATTTGCCGTTTTGATGAGCACAAGAAAACTGGCCTTGCATAAAGAAACTTAAGAAGAGATGCATTTGTCCGTTTTGATGAGCACAAGGAAACTGATCATTGGTGCGATGACAAGTGTAGGTCTTTGCAGTCGGATGTAGAAGTCTGAAAGCGTCCACCAGGCCCAGGGCTTTACAAAGGTCTGGACAGGGGTCGCGGGATCCCCATCGATCCATCCCTCTGTCCGGCGCTGCGTTAAAATCGCCAGCGATGACTAATGGAACTCCATGTGGTGCGAGTATCTGAAGATGGGTGAAGAAAGACACCCTTTCTGTTGCTGTGTTGGGGGCATAAATACACATGATGCTAATTAATACCAACTCCAGCATTTCGAGAATCGACACCCACCTCCCCTGTTCCTCGTCTGCTACCCAATTTACCACCTCTAAACGAGATCCTGGCGGGATCCAGATCGCTACCCCTGCCGAACCCGGTGTCTTGGCGTGCGCCCTGTAGGCCTGGTGGGGCCAAACTGTTTTGTGGGCCCGATGGTGTTCCGGTTTGTCCATTAGGTGAGTTTCTTGGATGCAGATGACATTAGGCCACGTCTTGCCTCCCACTACTTTCAGCTGGTCTCATATTGCTTATCACTGCCATCACCCTAATCTCTCTTACTTCCGAACTTCCCCTTTCCCAGCTTATTACCCCAACCGAGGTGATGCGCCTCCGTACATCAGGCCTGTCTACTCCTCCTTACCAGGATTATGATTCTACTATTTTTCCTTCCACACAATAGATACCATCACGCAGTCTGCTCCTGTTATGACGTCAACATTGATGCAATTGTGGACGATTTTTCTGAATGTCTCTGACTCCCATTGATCCAGTCAACCAGCCGTTGACTTCTGTTTTTACTTCAATGGATACTTGCTTCCTCAGTCTTCCTTTACTTTCCCTATTCCACTTTGGGCGTGATTCGACACTCCTCGGGGACGCGATTCCGAGGATTCCGTCGTCGTTCCACCTGTCATCGGAGCCAATTTTCGGAACAGAAATGTGAAAACACTCCGAGGACAAATCCTCGGGCTCCGAGGATTTCCCAGCCAAATCGTCCTCGGCTCCAAGGGACCTCGCGAGGTCCCTTGAAGCCCGAGGATCCGCGATTATCGGGTTGTCGGCGACGAGTCCAGAAGGGAAAATGGTGGTCGAAGGTGGTCCAGTGGTGGTCCACCGGCTAGAAGACGGACATCGCGAGCCGCCGACGTCCAAAACGTCCACCAACGGCCTCGTCTTTTTACCGTTGGCGGGGATTGGCGGTACGGCCCTGTCGGTTCCCACGGCGGTGCTGTGGCGAGCATCGGACGTTTTCGACCGGCTCCTGGAGGGATCGTGGCATTCCCGCGGGCTACCCAACGGTCGAAAATACGGATTTTTTAAGCGTCCACCCCCAGCCGGTGCTTGCAGCAATTTCGAACGTTGGCGTCTTCCCTCGCGCAACGTGTGTCTCCGGTCGCCGCAATCGCGACAACGCAAGTGCGTGTCCTGTCCTTCATGGTTGACCTGTGCCGCAGGCTGCCTTTGATGCTGCTTGTCGTTGTGCTGCTGCTTGTCGTTGTCGTCTTTCATATCTGCATCCTCGGTCGCGTCCCTGGGAGGAAACAGACGCGGCGAACGCCGAAGACGGCCAGGAAGATGGAGAAGCTACAAACGAAGACCACGCTGTCCGTAGGGGCTGGGGGGGCGTCACGTCAGCGTTGCAGCACTGCGGAAGGCGGCAAGCGGCCGTACGACCCAACGTTGTACAGCCACCTGCCGTCCCACGAGATTCCGTTGCCTCCGAGTGACGACGACGGCGACGACCCCTGATCATCAACGGTTCCTCTGGGCAGCGGTTCGACGCAAGATTGGATGGGGAGCCAGCTGTACAGACAGACCTCGACGCCGACGTACACTGATCTGCTGGAGGGGCGGGCCCCGGTTGGTTATGACGCAGGGCTCGTACATCTCAGCTTCGGTTTGAGGTCTGGGAGTGCCGACGTTAGCAGATGTCGTCGTGGTGCATGTGTTGTGAACGATGTTTTCCTTTTTTTTTCTGTTTTTTATTTTGTGATTGGAGCGCACTTTGTACTTTTGCTCCTCAATAGGGTTTCTTGGCTCGGTGGATGACACCGTTGAAATGTACGTAGATGGCAGGAGCAGTCCGTGTATTGTGCGTGACGCTTCAAGGGTCGATAGTCAGGATCAACGGGAAATCGCCGCCCGAAAATTGCTTTGTTGTTCAATGAATTTTCTCAAATTTATGTTTGTGTTTCGATGGCATGTGTTTGCATGCTTAAGATTGCATACGCAGTCATGCTTTTCTTGTCTTCTGTGTGGTTTTATCATGTGACGCACGCGTTAATGGGCATCGTATTCTCGTCCACATCTTGTTATGTATGCGGCCCTTCATTCGATCTTAGGAATCGCGGCATCATTATCATCGCCGACACCTGAGAAAAGATAACAAGGAAAAGAGGCAGGGACCTATACACACACTTTCATTGTCATCTTTTTATGCTTGGTGCCCGTGTTTCCGTTCCTGATGCCATCGCGAAATCCTGATGATCGCGCGCAGCGGAAGAAAGCGGAAAAAAAAAAAAAAAAAAAAAAAAAAAAAAAAAAAAAAAAACCTACTGAAAGAAAGGTCACCGCGCAGTTGCTGGATAAACACATCTATCGTGAGTTCTTCTTTCTTTTCTTTGTCGATGCATGTGAGTCGTTAGTGCAACAATGAAGCTTTTCCGAGTGCATTTAACAAACGCAGAGAAGCGCAGACGACATGCACAACAGACGTTCCATGTAGTAAAAACAAAAACATGTTCCTTCGAAATAAGAATAGCAGTCAGACGCACCAAAACGTCCATACACAAACATCATGAAAAACACTCAGCGTTCAAGTTCAAGGAAAAAA